CCAGGCCCAGGCTGCCAGCGCCCAGGAGCCTGCCCGGGGCTGCAAGAAGTATGCACCCTCCTGGTCTAGTGTGGAGATCGTGGACCTCATTGATGTTTGGGGGGAGTCCTCCAATGCCCACGATCTCTACACTGAGCACAGGAATGCGGCCGTCTACAGCTGCATGGCTACCAGCCTGGCCACCAGAAGCCACATGAACAGCCAGGAGCAGGTGCGCTGCAAAATTAAAGACCTGCAGCAGGCCTATGCCAGGGGCTCCCAACCAGGGGCCAACCCAGCACCTGCCCCCATTATGAGGCCCTGGAATGCATCCTAGGGGCTCACGCAGTCCGTGCCCCCAGGTGCAAAATTAAGGACCTGAGGCAGGCCTACTCCAGGGCCTCCCACCAGGGGCCGACCCAGAGGCCTCCCCTCACTTTGAGGCCCTGGGCTGCATCCTGGGGTCTCACACATTCCATGCCCCCCGGGTGGTGGTCAACTCCGGGGAAGAAACGGAGGAAGAGGAGGACGCTGAGAGCCAGGAGCCTGTAGGGAGCCTGTCCAGGACCCAGGACCCCCAAGTCATCCCACAGAGCACATGTGCAGTGTTGTCTGAGGCTGGGGAGGGCTCCACATGTCAGTGCCATCATGGTCCCCTTATGTTGGACCATGGGGGGTGGAGAGGGAGCCCAGGGACCACGCGCCTGAGCCTTGGCGCACCATGGAGCAGCAGCTGGGTGTCATGCAGGGGCCCTGGCCTGTTCCTCACATGCTGACCTCGCCTTGCAGAGGGGGGCTGGGTTTCACCCACTGTGTCCCCAGGGAGAACTGACCACTGCTCTTCTTTCACCACAGCCACAGCACCTGGGCCTGCAGGGCGCACCACCCCACCTGGAACAGCCACCCACACCCAGGCCAGCAGACGCACCCGCAACCAGGAGGAGTACCAGCGGCGGCACCTGCGGCTACTGGGGCAGCAGCTCTGCACCCAGGACCACTGGGTCTGCGAGGACCTGGGGCTGCGGCAGCAGAGCTTGGAGGCACTAGAGGATCAGGGCCGTGCCCTCCGAGCGTGTAGTATGGCCAGGACAGACTGAACCCTCCCGTGCGGGGCAGTTTCGCCTCCTCCCCTCCCCCCTGGTTTTCCCTGGGGTGGCCCATTCTCTCCTTGCAGCCCGCCTCCCCCCTGGCCCAGTGGCCGGTGTGTGCCGTACCTGCATGAGCACTGCTTCGACGGTGGATTTCCCCACACCGAACTGGTTCCCGACAG